CCGTCCAAGTACCCCGTAGTTGCACAATCAATTTTCTGAATTTCGAGGACCAGTATGTCACAAATTCTAACTACTGGAATTCCAAGCGATCTTACAACAGCAAGAAGTACTGCAGAAACGCATAACAAACTACTAAAATCATTGGTGACGCGCACCCGCCTAGTGTGCATCACCAGTTTTAGTGGTTTGTTCGGTGGAAAACTGATAAAGCATTGTGCAGTATGAAAGAAACTATGCCTTTCACCATTTTTTACTATGCCTTTCACTATTCAAAAAACGTGGAAAAAAAGTGAATTTTAAGACACATGTATTAATTAGAAAGTTGAAAATTACCTCCAAGCAACCCGTAGAAAATCATGAATATGTAGATATTCGTGCAGACAATGGATGCTAAAAACGACAGACCCGCTACAACCGAACCTACAATAACAACGATCCGAGCGCCAAATCTGTTTACCAGACCGCCTGCCACTGGTCCTGAAAAAGTTCTGTAATCGACACAGCAGATTTCGCAACAAATTCGATTTTTTGCTCATTTATTTGCTATAACGGTTGCAGAATAAGTATATCTCATAACCCTCTCTGTACGCGTAACCAAATACATTTTGTGTCGGGTTTTCAACTCAAGAACTGGAAAAGCCAGAAAGTCAAAATTTAAGAGTATGTCTGCTGCCTGCTGCAATTCAAAAAATTTAAATTCAGCCTTCGCGCACACACGCCTCACTTATGAAAGTTTTGGCGCGTAACCCACTAACTCGGAAGCCAAAACAAAACTAGAAAACTGTGATTTCAAAGGAACATTTCCAGTCCGTGCGTAACGCCAAAATCTACGTGCGCCTGAGACTCAGGAGACTCAGGCGCGGACAAAATAGAAGGCTGATATTTTATAAGGCTGCTTCCCGTCTATATTAGACCATACAATTTTAAACCCAGCTTCCAAATGCATGTACGTCCCACGTCAGGAATACATGGCTGTGTTGGCGGGAAATTTCCTGCTTGGGAAGTTGGGCAAATGGGAAACTGGAAATTTTGGTTGACTTTTCTATAATCTGATATATGATATATAATCTTGGAATTTCACATTCAATTTTCACTTAAGTGTCACATACGGACACATAGAATTTCACGTAGGGAATCTCTAGTTCAGAAATCCGAAAAAATAGCTGAAAATTCCGGAGGGTATCTTTTGTTTATGTGCAGTTCTACAAACTTAAATTCAACCCCCACGCACATCTACTTTGGCGTATGGGCACAAGAAATTCCCGACAAATTTTGGTGAGGAATTTCACAGCTTCGGAGCCAGACAACATCGACTATTTTTGCGCACACCGAAGCGCAAAGCAGTAAAAATTCTTAACAGCAAAAGTTCACTGGATAAGATTGCGCAAAACGCATGATCGTACTGGCTATCCTGCTACGCGCCACTATTCATTTATTCACAAGAAACTTCACAGAATTTGACAAACTGCTACTTACCGATGAGCAGATATGAGCCAATGAGTAAGGAGCCGATCAGTGAAACTTTCGCTTTCGATGCATGGAAATAATCCTGATAACCGCTCATAAAAGCACCAAATGAATTGGCGATTCCATCGACGACGAAATTGGACATGAATGCCGCAAACACAATCACCCACCCATATCCACCGTCTGGTGGTACCGGCAACAGATCTTTCAGGACTTCATCTCTCATTCCATCTCGTTC